TAGCACTAATAATGATTCACATCCTATTAGCAATTCTCTACATTACTCATTCCCTACTTCCTAGCAAATGCAAAGCCATCAGTAGAAGTTAATATGAACCTTAGGAGATTTTGTTCTCAGAGGATTACAAGTTAGCAACTATGATTTGTGTTTATCCAATTCTGCTCCCTCCTCATGGTACCACCTACGCTTCATGTCCAGGTTTCCCACCACCTCCATTCATGCTAATACCACATCCTTAAGCATCTAAGATCTTCCAACCTCCAATATCTGTGGTTTTCAAATCATCATCTACTCACTAACATGTGAAATAAAACTCAAACTTCAAAGTGGAATCCAGTTGCCTCCTGAGTCTTATGACGGGCAGGCATTTGGCACAGCAGTAAAAACACTGCTTGGGAAGACTACATCCCATATCAGAGTACCTGGATTCATGTCCTAATTTCACTCCCAATATTAACCTAATATTCTTATAGAAAGTATTAAGCACAGTGCCTAACACATAGTTAACTGCCCAATAACAGTTTAGCTATAAATATGAGAGACTTCAAAAAGTTCATGGAGGGGTCGGTGTTGTGGCTCAGCAGATTAAGCTGCTTATGACGCCAGCATCCCATATGGGAGAGTTGATTTGAGTTCCAGCTGCTCCACTTCTGATCCAGCTCTCTGTTAATGCTCCTGGGAAAGCAGTGGAAGATGCTCCAAGTACTTTTGGCCCCTGACCCTTACATTGGAGACCAGGATGGAGTTCCAGGCCTCAGACTTCAATCAGACCAGCCCTGGCTGTTGCAGGCATTTGGAGAATAAACCAGCGGATGAAAGATTCTGTCTCTCCCTCTCTCTTTTGCACTGTCTTTCAAATAAATCGTTTTTTAAGTTCATGGAAAATAGAATTAGAAGCTAATTTTGGCTTAAGAAAATTTCCAAATCCATGCATAGTTTTTTCCTAATATGTGTTTTCTATGAAATGTTTAAAGACCTCTCATACTGCTAATAGAATTATGATTATCATTGTTAGTAACCACCTGTCTGACCATTTGGCCAAGTAGAATAACTCATTGTATTTACATGTGCTCCTTACATTTCTCTACCCACTGTATTCACTGCTCTATCTACATCTCCAACCTCCTTGCATTTACCTAAGTTACATGGCATGGGACCCAAATCCAATAAAAACTCTGTGTTAACCACTGCATTGAACATTGTCCCTTGGAGCAGAGTAACTTCTAATAAATAGTGCCTTGATATGTAATTCATGCAAATGTAAGTAATTATGTATGCACACATACTTGCCTTTACTGTTGGTCCCCTAGAATTAAACAAGGCATATTCCTGATATGCAAAAGTTAAACAACAGGTTTAGAGACCAGCATTTGGCCTAACGATTAAGATACCAATTAAGATGCTCTTGTACCATATGGGAGTTCCTGGCTTTTATTTCTGGCTCTGGTTCCTGACTCCATCTTCCTGCTGTTGCAGCCTGGGAGACAGCAGGTGATGGTTCAAGTAATTGAGTTCCTGCCACCCACATGTGAGACTTTGATTGAGTTCCTGGAACCCAGCATTGGTCCCATCTCAGCTCTGGCCATTGTGTGCATTTGAGGAAAATACTGCAGACCTGCAGATGGTAACTTCTGTCTGTCTGTCTCCCTCCCTCCCTCCCTCCCTCCCTCCGTCCGTCTCTCTCGCCCTCTGTGTGTGTGGGTGTGTGGGGGTGGGTCTGTGGGAGGTGTATGGGTATACGTGATGAATGAGTAAAATAAATAAATAAATACCAATAAAGAGTAGGCATTGAGATACAATGGGTTAAGCCACCACTTAGGACAGTCACATCCAATTTGAGACAGTGCTGTTTCAAGTCCCAGCTACTCTGTTTTTGATACAGCTTCCTACTAAAATGCCTTGGAAGGCAGAAGATGATGGCCCAAGTACTTCAGTCTCCTGGGTTCACCTGACCCAGCTCCAAATGTTGTAGGCATCTGGGGAGTGAGCCAACAGATGGAAGATATCTCTCTGTCATTTTACCACTCAAATAAGTAAATCTTTTTTTTTTTAATCTGCTAGCTTTAGAAGTCATAAAGCTAGGGTTGGGAATAAGAAGAGGAAGACAACATTCCATAAGAATAAAAAGAAAAAATTGTAAAACTTGGTAATCACATCATACTTTTCACATAGCGTGAGAGTCTGGATTACAGTTTACCAAATATTCCTTCTTGCTATGGATAAAGTCTGCTTTAACTCACAAGTGTTGGACTTCACCACGTGACTTGCTTTGTCCAAAACCATTGTCAGTGGAAGTGACCCTTGTCTGTGCAGTTTGCCAGAGCTCTGGAGTTCCTCAGAAGAGCATATCCCAAATAGTTGCCTTCTCCTCAGCCCCCCTAGAAGTGGAGCAGACTTGAACCCAAAAGGCAGCCTCCAGTAGGGCAACCTCAGGGAGCCCAGCCTAGCTCAGCTAAATCACAGTCAAAACAAAGAACCCTGAGTGTGAAAATAAATACCTGTTGCTTCACAGGAGTCTCAGAGCTGCTTCCCTGCCCAAGTTGATTAACATGTCTTTATCATTTGATATATTTTAGTATTTCTCACATGTTTGTTCATTTTTTTGTTTTTGTTTGTCCTCACATAAGAAAGAACAGCCTGCAGAATCTCTAGTTTGGTTCACCCATGGTTTCTATCTTTGGATTAAATGTTTTTCTGAGATCTATACTGTCATTGATAACAGTGCTTTTTTGCTTTCCATTTGTCCTACTACCTTTCTAAAATCAAGAAAATCACAGTAAAATATCAAAGAATAGTACAAACATTATTGACTAATTTGCTGATTGGCAAGTAGATCTCACAAAATGCTAATTTGTTAGCTGATTTTTAAAAAAGGCTTGGTGGGGAGGCCATAGAGCGAAGGCATTTAGAAAACCTTAGGATGCTCACAGCCCATATCAGAGTCCTTGCTCCATCCCCAATTCCAGCTTCCTGCTAATGCACACCCATGAAAGCAGCAGGTGATAGCTCAAGTACTTGGTCCCCTGCCACTCATGTGAGAGACCCCAATTGAGTTCCAGGTTCCTGCCTCAACCCTGGCTCAATCTCCACTGTTGCAGGCATGTGGAGAGTGAAACGGATGGAAGAGCTCTGTCTGGCTCTCTCTCTCTCTCTCTTTCTCAATCTGTGTATGCGTGTATGTGTGTGTGTGTGTGTGTGTGTATGTCTGCCTCTCAAAAAAGTAAATAACTTTTTTAAAAATATAAAGGATCTACTAGTAAAATAAACAAACATGCAGATTGTACAAAAATTAACCTAACCAAAACCAAACAATATCTGTTCAGGTGAATTTGTGGATTACAACACAATTTATTTACCTCATTTTGACAAACCTCCAGAATTGACTTTCACCAATGGGACGACACTAATGAGATTCAAGTCGTGTAGCTTTTCCAACATAATAAAACAAGAGGACCAAGCCATTTTACAGGAATAATTTTAAATATAATTATATTTCATCACTAATGAGAAATTATGGCTCTATAAATGAAAGAGAAAATACAACTCCCCTTAGCAGGGGAAAGAGTCAACTGAACGATGTTAAAAGTATTTAAGCAATTCCTATTCAAAACTCCAACTGGAAATTTAAGGCATAAAGAAAAGTGGAAGAGTGATGATTTGCAATTTATTTTTTATAGATGAAAAGTGATCTATAGAAATATAAGAGGCAAGGCAGAATCAACAATCTCACCAAATGGAAAGCAAAGAGGCTGATACAAGGACCACCAATGTCATGGTGAACTCTTCAAAGCTCTATGAATGCTGGGAAAGGTCCCACCTCAGACTGGACACATGCAGACCACACCACTAAATTTGAGTTCAAGGCCATAGCCAAGGTCAAAGGCCCTGGGGACAGACAAACCCAAGCTCAAATTCTTGTTCAAACACTAAACCATAGCCAAGGTACTTGATTCCTTTTAGTTTTCTCATCTATAATTTGGGGATCTATAATTCTATCTGCCTCATAGGGGCTCTGCAAGGTTTATAAAAAGATGTAGTAAAATACTCAGCAAAGTGCTAGCAAATGCAATAATAAGACTAAGGATAATTGTAATAAAACAATCTTGACCAACCTGGCTTCTACACAAAGACCATCCTAACCAATGTATTCTGGCTCACAATCTGTTCACGAAATACTGAATTCACAGCAAAAATGCTCTCATCCAAGTACAGCTTCTGTCAGGTAACAGTTCTCTGTATCAACCAGTAATTTTTCTAATGAATTCAGAGAGAAAGGTGTTGAAAAATCAGCCTTCCACACGTAGAGTTGAGAAGGAGCTGGTCCTTTGTCCCTGAATCATCCACTCATGAGTCTTGCTGGGGAAAGTCATGATTCCATCAGCATTCACACCTCCCCTCCTCAAAAAAAAAAAAAAAAAAAGTGAAAGGCTTTTACTAAAGCAAAGAAGCAAACTGACAAGATGGCTCACATTAAAGAAAAGGCAGACTATTACACCCTAAAGGAATAATATGGCTTAAGCTCACTGACACCGCAAACTGACATCCTGCACAAGAGAACAAGGCAGCTTTACTTCTAGAAGTTGAGTTACACTGTCAGAACGAAAAGAATCACTTCTACTCACGCTAATCCTAAGAAAGCATGTCTGCCTGCTTCAAAAATATCTCATAAATCCATCCAGTAGAGCCTAGAGCCGAGGAGTGTATCTTGAGAAGCAATGTGACTTTACAAGGACAAGAGTGACCGTGGGAGACAAAGTGCCACACCCTTTTCCCAGACAGCCCAGTAGTAAATGCTGCCTCTCCTAAGGAAGACTGCAATTCTACGGGAAGAGGTAGCACCCAATTCTCTGCCCCTGATCACCACCACCTCCCGTTTCATTCTTTACAAAACCGCATATCGTCGTTTCAAGCCAGTAGCCTCAGCATCCCCAGTTCCTACAAGAATAAAAAGGGTGGCTGGGGACAGGGACTGGGGCAAGGAAACAAGTCAAACATACTTGCGTCTAAGCCCATTTTCCAAGAGTTTTCTTCCCGCTTGTCTGTCTCTCACAGCTGGAGCCCCATACCTGGTGGAAACCAATGGTTAAGTAAAATCACTGATTTAAAGAGCCAACCAGGAAACTAACCATGACAAGTGGGAGCTGCCCTCCTCTCCCGAGCAATGATTGGCTCTTGGGGTTCCACCGGTCCCCGTTCCACCTACATAAGTGGCAGGTGTGGCTGTCAATCACAGAGGCAACTGACAATTCACCGCTCTGGGAGTAAATTGCCTTTCATCCAGCAAAGGCAGGTAGCCGCCTAAAATCGATCCTCTCCTAACAGCGCAGACCCTCCCTCTCTGGCAAGAACCGAGACCCCCAAGTACAAAATAAATAAGGCAGGGCGGAACGGAGAGTTTACGGGCGCTGTTTCATTATCCCGCACCAAAGCAGCCCTTAATCTCACTGTCCTAAGATGATCTTTCAAAGGCTCGGATAGAAAAAATTGTTACGGAAAAATCAGGTGCATCTCCCCAAGTATCCCTTTTTCCTGTAAAAATTAGGAGACGTGGAGAGGGAGGGAAGGAGCGCATTCAATTTCACACCGTCTTCCTTTCCACACACCACCCTCCTGCCCCTCCCCGATAAATCCGGCTTCCTTTTCACTGGCACGGATTTTTTTTTTTTTTTTAAACACTCTCCCCTCACAGCCCACCCGGGCAGCCAGGCACCCCACCCCCTGGGATGGGCTCCACCACCTCTCTCCACTCTGTCCTGTTAGGGGCTTCCTCGAGTCCCCCGGCCCCAGTGGACACCCCAACCCTCGAGGCCAGAGGGCAAGCCAGGCGAAAGGGGCATCTGGAGAGAAGAAAGGCGACGGCAGTGAGGGTGGCTGCGGGAGCGGGCTGCGGGAGGTGGCCCGCGCGCCGGAGGAAACCGTGCACTTGCTCGGATCCGGGGTTTACACATCCAGTTTACACATCCAGGCAAATCCGCCCGGAGGCCGCCCCATCCCTGACCCCGCCCGAGAAAGCCCCTGTGGGGGCGGATGGTTCACCCCTCGGCTCCCCGATAACGCATTGCAGCTCCCCACGAGCGAGGGGGACCCGGCACGAGGGATGCCCGCGCACCGGCGCCCCGAGGGAACCGGACACCCGGCGGCCCGGCCCCGGCGTCGGCGTCTCACCTTTCCGATGCTCGCCCCGGAGCTGTCCCACATGGATTTTTACTACCTCACGTCGCCTTGGCCCCGGGCGGCCGGCCGGGAGGAGCCGGAGCCGGCGCCGGAGCCCGAGTGATTCGGAGCGGGAGGCGGAGGAGGAACGGGGCGGGGAGCCGGAGAGGAGGGAGGGAGCGAGCGAGCGAGCGAGCGAAATCGCTGAGGAGGACGGCAGCGCGCGGAGGGCCGGGGCCGGGCGGGGCCGGCGGCCGAGGGGGCGGCACCCGCCGCAGTCCCGAGACGCGCGCTCGCGCCGCGCCGCCGGGCGCTGCGCTCCCGGGCCCCCGCGCGGCCGGCCGGCGCGCTCGCTCTCTCGCTCGCCACTCGCCCAGGCCCTGACTCACATTCCCAGCATTCCCGAGGAGCCGCTGGGGGGGCCGGCCGGGCGCTCGGCTGAGGGCAGCAGAGAGCGCGCGGGCCGGCCGCGCTGGGGTCTGGGTAGCGCCTCCTCTCGGCAGGACGTGGTCGCCGAGCGCCGGGCCCCGGGACGCCCCTTTCCCCCACCCCCTCCAAAGGCTGCCCGGTTCTCCCGGGACCTCCCAGGTGGCTGCTTGGGTGACAGGGGCAGGGGTGGCACTTGTCTTTCAAGTTAAGCTTTGGGGTGGGAGTCGGGGTTCCCAGACCCCGGCAGGTGAGGGGATTTCAACAGATTCTTGCTTTCTTGTTCCTCCAAGGAGAGGAGAGACTGGAAGATGAAAAAGAGAGCAAGAAAAAAGGATCGTATTCATCATATCCGTTGGGGTGCTTCTTCTGAGCCCTGCAAATGTCCCATTTATGGAAGAAAGACGATGTTTGATTTATTCTCTCTCTCTCTCTCTCTCTCTCTCTCTCTCTCTCACACACACACACACACACACACACACCCTTTCCAGGTAATGTGCAGAAGGATTTGCACAAGTTTTTCTTTGGCCAAAAAACGCTTCCACTCAACAAGTCAGGAGTGTCAGCTGCTGCCATGCCATGTTGGGGAGGCAACTGGGCAATGTCCTGAGCTCCTCCAAACTTGGTCTCCCTCATTGGGTAGCCAGTTTGTGGGACTAGAGCAGTGATTCCCTTCCTGTCCTGGCGAGTCTGCTGCCAGTAACTTCAGTGCCCAGATCTAAACGCCTCCTGAGAAGCTCAGACGAGCAAAGCAAATCGAGCCCTGGGGTGTTGGGGTGAGCCCAGGTATGGAATTAGGCGACTAGGGGCTGGCTCCAGCTTTCCTCTCCTGTTGCGAATTCAAATAGTAAAGGATTCCTGCTTAGGGAATTGGACTCTGAAAGACAAGAATGCCTGCCTGTTGCTACCCAAATACTCATTTTAAGCCTTCCTTTTACACCTCTGGTTTTGGTTTTCATAGACTCGTGGTCCCTGAGCTCTCTTTGCCTTCATCCTTTTCTTTCTCTCCATCACTAAGAAATTAGGACTCATTCTCTCGATCTGGATGCTTTAGAAGCAAGATGGAACTGCACCTGATATGCCTTCATTTCTGGTGTAAATCCTTGATGACGTCACCTCAGAGGCTTGTTATATATGAGCACCTGTTGGGAATACTTTAAGAATCCCTAAAACCCTGTGTCTTTTGAAATATGAGTGACATGTTTGAGGGTAGCATAATCTCCTCTGTGAAAGTCTTTGCATTTTCTCCACTACTCTCACAAGAACTCTGTGTTTCCCAGTCTTCAGGTAACATAGCCATGGTGACTGTTAAGAATTTATTTAAATCAAATGTCCCAGATTCACTGTTGTTGGCCACCTACTCTCTTGGCCTTTAATCCAGAGGTCTGAAAGGGAATCCCTGGATTTTAGGGGGACAATCCACCTCATATACACCTGCGTCCAGTTTTTCCTGAAGGGAGACTTATGGTTCTCAATGAATCTGTTTCATATCAGGTCCTTGACCAAGGAGATGTTAAGAATAATCACTAAATAGAAAGTGTCTTTATGTGGTAAAACAAGGACTGGATGTTGTAGGAAAGTTGTCATTTTTTATTTATCTGAAAGGATAATAAATCAGAGTGACAGGAAGGGAGAGGAATCTTCCATCCACTGGTTCACTCCCCAGATAGCCACAATGGAGACTGGAACTCCATCTAGGTCTCCCACGTGGGTGTCAGGGGTCCAAGTCATTAGGCCATCTTCCTCTGCTTTCCCACTGGCATTAGTAGAAAGCTGGATCAGAAGCATGGGGGCCAGGACTTGAACCAGCACTTGTATATGGAATGCCAATACAGCAAGCAGCAGTTTAACCTCACAACAGCAACCCTGAAATAAATAACCTTAAGGTTTCTCCCAACTCTAACATCCTCAGACTTTATAATGAAATATACATATATGAATGTATGTACACATATACATGTACACCATTCAAAATGCTAACCAGTAGCCCTTGTGAGAGCTTAATCCTAGGGGCAGAAAAATACTCTCAAAACATGCTGACTTTTATAAAACATGGTCTGTCGCTCCAGGTCTTTTGTTGTTATTTTTTTTTCTGTTTTGCTTTATTGGTTTTTCATATTATTCCTCATTATGTCAATCCCTTCTTCAGCAAGTCAAAGAGAGCACACTTTCATGGCCAATATTCTCATGTCACACATTAATTCATTCAACAAATAAATATTTATTGATCATTCTGCTTTCTGCCAGGGCCAGTAGGCTCAAAGGCCCTGCCCTCAAGGACTGCACAGTGTAGGGAGGGAGACAGACAAGCAAAGCAGCAAGCAAATTACAACACCTATGAAGATACAATGTTCTGGGACTGTGGAAGCCTTCAGGAAAGACAGGCTGGGAGTTAGGAAAAGCTCTCCGAAGGAAATGTCATACTTGCCTGCTATATCCTTCTTGGCTGCTGCACTCTGCGCTCAGCCTGGAGAGGCAGCCTGTATGCTGTGCGAACCCAGACATAATAGATGGGATCAGTAGTGCCCCCTGAGTGGGCTTAACAAGCTTTCTCCCCAGTATTTGAACCTGAGCTTAGAATGAGTCACCTAGCTGGCACTGATTGGTGAGCTGACAGACCATGGTGGTCCAAATCAGAATTACAGCACCAAACTCCACAAAACCAAAGCCCATGAGAAAAAAGCTCTAAGACCCTTGCTGAGGAAACTGGTCTGCAGAGAGGAGAATAGATGATAACCCTGTAGGCAGAAATCAGACTCCTAAAGGCCTGCAAGAATTGATCAGCTATCTGCTAGCATATCCACAATGTGAGTCTCTAACTAACTTCTCAAGCTTGATGAGCTCTAAACAAGCCTCTTCTCTCCCAAGGTCAAGCAAGCGGTTAATGCATCACTATTCATCCTGTTGCACAGGTTCAAGCCTAGGAGCCTCACTGATTGTTCTTTTTGCTTCTTCCACACATCTACACCATCAGCCAGTTCAGACAGCTCCATAGAGGCCTGAAACAAGCCACATCAGAGTCTGAAGCAGCAGGAAAACTGTGCACCTCTATATACAAGGGGAGTTCAAAAACTTGGTGGGGGCCGGCACTGTGGCTCAGTGGATGAAGCCACCACCTGCTACACTGACGTCCCATATTGCAGCACAGGTTCAAGCCCCTGCTGCTCTACCGCTGGTCCAATTCCCTGCTAATGCATCTGGGAAAGCAACAGAACATGGCCCAAATGCTTGGCCCCCTGCCAACTATGCAGGAGGCCCAGATGGAGTTCTGAGCTCCTGACTTCAGTCTAGCCCAGGCCTGACCATCACAGCCATTGAGGGAGTGAACCAGGGTAAGGAAGATTGCTATCTCTCTCTTTCTCCACCTCTCTTAATTCTGCCTTTCAAATAAAAAATTCATTTAAAAATGGTGGAAAAACAGAATAAAAAAAAAAGCTTGGTGGAAAAGCATAATTAAAAGACAAATTTATTTTGATGCAAAAAAATTTTGGTGGCCAGCACTGTGGAATAGCAGGTAAAGCTGTTGCTTGTGGTGCCAGCATCTCATATGGGCACCAGTTCTAGTCCTGGCTGCTCTGCTTCTAATCCAGCTCTCTGCTCTAGCCCGGGAAAGCAGTGGAAGATGGCCCAAGTCCTTGGTCCCCTGCACCTGAACCAGGGACCCGGACAAAGTTCCTGACTCCTGGCTTCGGATCGGCCCAGCTCCAGCTATTGCAGCCATTTGGGGAGTGAACTAGCAGATGGAAGACTCTTTGTCTCTCCTCTCTCTCTCTCTCTCTCCCTCCCTCCCTCTGCCTCTCTGTAACTCTGCCTTTCAAATTAAATAAATAAATCTGTTAAAAAATTTTTGAAAAATTTTGAAATACACACACACTAGGGGTCTTCAATGAATTTGTGCAAAATGTGCCTAAGGATACAAAGATTTCAAGTTTTTCCACAAAAATAAACATCTTATGCATTTTAAAATTTTTATTATTTTATCTTACTTATTTGAAAGGCAGAGAGATAGCCAGATAGAGAAAGAGAGAGTTCTTCCATCTGCTGGTTCACTGCCCAAATGACTGTAACAGAAGGGCCTGGGTCAGGCCAAAGCCTGAGGTCAGAAACTCGATCTAAGACTCCAGCATAGGTAGCAGGGACCCAGCTGCCTACCAGCGTGTGCATTAGCAGGAAGCCAAAATTAGAAGTAGAGCTAGGACTCAAATTAGCACTCTGCTACAGGATTCAGGTGTTCCAAGTGGTGTCTTAAATGTTAGGCCAAATGCCTGCTCCTAAACTCATCTTTTAAATTTCATTTTCCACAAATTGTCTGAAGCACCCCTGTACTTTTTTTTTTAACCAATTATAACAGTTGATTAAATTTCTACCTTGGAAAAACATGACCATACATAAAGTGCCACATTAGCAAATCAGTTCTCCCTCACTGCCAACCATCATAAACCTGCCAGGGGTAACATAATGGTCTCATGGCCTTGGAACTGAGCGTTGGTTGGAAACAACTACAAGTAGCATTGTAGCACAGTGATGCAGGGTCATAAGACAATCTGTCTTCTTTTTTTGTTGTTGTTGTTGTTGCTGTCCAATATGAATTTTATGCATTCATTTTTAATTCAATTATTGCAAAAAAGAATAAATACTGGTATAGCTTACCCTATTGCCATGCCCTATTCTAAGCAGTTTGCATGTATTAACTCCTTTCCTCCACCACTGATCTGTAAAATACCATGAAGATACTGAAGCATAATAGCTTACCAAGGCTACACAGCTAGGAGATTGCAAGTCTCAAATTTGAGCCCAGGAATTCTGGTTCCAGAACCACCAAGGTAAACACAACTGCACTTGATGA